TTCTTTCTTTGCTCAACTTACTAAAGTAGCGGCGTGTGAGTGTCCTACGTCCGCGCATCACACGTCTGGTTGCCTCAGATTCCTGTGTGCAGAAAGCAAGCAGAACTGAAAAAAATAACAATTTAACGAAAATGTTCTTCTCTGTTTCAAGTCTAAAATATTTTAATTAAACACTTATACAAAAAATGTATATAATTTTGATTTCTATCATAAACTTTAAAATAATAAATAAAGTTAAGTTTAGTAAATGATTTCTGCAAAGACTTCAGGATAAGAAATTATCAAATTCGATCCGGGCTACTTCTTCACGTATCTTAGTGCAAAATCTTTAATGGATTCTTTGTKCAAAGTAGACTCCGGCCGATATAAGCATGCCACCACTAAAACAATTTTCCATAGCCTTGTTATAAGTATCGACTGAGATAATCTTCAGTGCTTTCGTCGATTTTTTGTTCCTTTCGGTTTTGGCTTATTTTGAGAGCACCATAAGCTCAAATCTCGTTACCAATAATGATGAATCAGCCAAGCTCAGCCTCAGCTACGCAGTCAAACATTTATTTTGCGACATACCATACCTAAAACATTAACCAAAATATGTTCAGTAGATCTATAAGAAATGTTCAGATCTTCTGCTATCTCTCTGAAGCCCGTCTTGATTCCAATGGAAACATGAAATTTCAAACAAACTCGTTGTTAATTTTTTCCATTGCAAATATCACCGAACAAACTTTTATCGTCATACGAAAACAGCACAATTGGCATATAGAGATCAAATTTCACACGAATATAAATAAATTGTTCCAATCTTGAAAAAACTGTTTGAAATGTTTTCGAGCCAGTCCACTTGTGCTTGAAATCATCAGTCACTTCGACTGAAAAGAATTCGCCAGCATGTATCTCCTGCATCTGACATAATGCAATATTAATATTTTATGTCAGAGTTACCTAAACCGAGTGAAATAATTCCGAAAATTCATTACCGCCTGCAACTAAAATGCGGGCTCTGACACTCGCTGAGCTTATAAAGAATGTCTCTATTCCAACAGCCCTTTTTCCATTGAAATAACAAATAAACGTGCACTGAGACATATGTACGAACATTTGTAAATCACGCAGACCGGATAGACATATGTATGCCGTTCGTCAGTGCATTTATGTCGATGAAGCGCACCGGAAAAATCTGCATAAAAATCCATTACTTACGCAATACGGGGAAACAGGTAAAAAAGCAAGAGCAAAAGCAACAATGGCCTAAAGTAAACCTCGTGCGAACGGTAGTAAACACACAAGAAACAAACATCGAAAAAGAACGACGAAAAATGTAGCGGAACTCGATAAATAARAGCCATTTTTTGACCCGACAAAAAGTGCAGTAAAAGGCAAAAAACAGTTCATCATCATCAGTGTCACTATCAACGTCGGACTCTCGCGTACCTCCAGCATCCGCTGCAGCATTGTATAACCCACAACACAGCAGTTACGTGAAATGTAACAACAATGCTGCCACAGCGGTCAAGCAAAGCGAAAAAAAATCTTAAATAAAGAAAATAATATGGYGGCAATGTGGTGCGGGTTCAGGTGCACACGCGTTGGCGACGCCCATAAAAATTGGCTTACCTCCGGTGTTGGACAACGCCCTGCCTGCGTGCGGTGCACCTGTGCCAACTGGTGAATAGTTCTCTTTTTTATYCGTTCTTTGTTAGTGTTTGCGTTGCATTATTCCATTTTGTTATTCTATGCGAGCGTGTGTAAGCGGTTGTTTCGATTTAATTTATGTAAAAACTAAACATTCTTGCTCCAACTGTTGCTATTGTTGCTACAATCACATCCCTAACACTTTAAGCCTATTSCCATAAATTAGTTCATACTTATGCTCCACCCTTTCGTGACAGTTTTGTGTATTTCCTCCTTCTGCTTCGAAATAAGAGCCGATTATATGTGGACAAATCTGACAATAGTTGCATTCGCAGCAAGTAACGGAAATTGGAAGGATGTTATTTTTTGGAGCATAATGTTTTATTTTTAGACACCAGTATCTTTCACACTTTTACGAGTATTTTTTACGGTATATCCATCATTTCTAAAAATTTGGTTTTTATTCTCTTAAATCAGGCCATGAATCAAAAACAGATGACATTATTCCAAATATTCAAATACTAACATTTAAAATTTCGTTTTCTGGTTAAAGCAGGTGCAGAAGAGAGAACCTAGAATGAGTCGACAATTTTAGATTGGTTTTACTACAGACTTAAGTTACAAAGCATTCATATGAATGCCAAGAAAAGAAAAAGAAAKTTTTTTTTCAGCCACTTTGGGAGATATGTATATGGGACTCTTTGAGACAATTTCTAATATCCACTCCCGCAATCATCATATGAGGTAATTAAGGTGTGAGAAGCCAATAATAAATTGGTATAATCAGGGGCGTTGTGGAATCTGATAGTCGTCGGAATCAGWACTGAAACCGATCAAAAAAAGTAGTAGGTGCCATGAAATCAGATATTATTGGTTTGATATTCGAAACAGAATTTGTATCAGTCTTGAGTGTCACGGAAACCAATTTTATCGGTTTTGCTATCAGAAAACAACCAAGAAGATAGTCGCTCACATATTTGAAATGTATGCTAAGAAATCAAGTTATTTTACTATTTCGAATTAATTTATCTTTATTTCTTAAGGGGAAAACATAAGTACAAATGACCTAATTATTGAGTTTTTGGAAAAAACAAATTGGATATTTAAAGATATTATATTTACAAAACGTAATAAACGTTATTTAACCTCCAAACGCGTCTTTATTCATATATATATATTTATTCATATCTTATCTCTAACAATATTTCTTTAATTCGGAACTCATTAAAAACTTTAATAAGATTCCTTCCAAATGCATTCATTTGCAAGTTTTGTCAAATTAGTAAACGGTGATTCGAATATTGGCTCTGCTTATGTTCGAAAAGACGAAATTCCAAACAGATTCTGTGACGCCATTGAAAATCAGAATTGGTTTGCAATTCTGACAGCGAAGCGATTCTGTCTTGGATTCCACAACACCCCTGAATAATTATTTTATATGCAATTATGTTGCAATTACATCTGAACAAAGCTGACTCGGACATGTGAAGTTAAATTGCACGCGCAAATTTGAGTAGACTATTTTTTCACATCCCAAATATGTATTTGTGTAACACAATGTATTTAGAAGGTTGTCAACTTACATATATTATTATAGCCTTCCTCATATGGAGTCATCATAAAAGTTAAAGTGCCTTGGCATCAGACAAATACCTGAGGATCAACGTTTTTTATGCACACACTTAATATATTTTGACAAATATTTTGGGATCGAAGAATGTCAACGCTGGACTTGTACTTTAAAATATTTAATTCTAGTATGGTTGCAGCTGATTTGAGACTCGCATCATCACTTTACATATAATAATTGAAAATTACAGGAATAAATTATGCCTGATTTCTAACTCTGATTATTTTTCACTTCTTCAATAAACTTCCCTAATTAAAAACGAAAAGAAAAGTGAAGTTGTTGTAACTACTCCTGCAATGTATTTCTATATTCAAGCAGCGGTTTTTATTTACCGTTATTTGGAAACTGGCATATAAAAGAGCCACAGGCGGCGTTAGAGTAAGAGTACTACTCCAATGTGTACTCAAATGGTATCCACTTATCTTATTTATTGAACAAACTAGCCATCCCATTGTCGAAGGAAGTACAATATAATGTAAGAGTTGTTTTATTCACAGCCAAGCTTCTTGTAAGCAAAGCTAAATTAATTTCTAAAATACAGAGGATCCTTAAAGGAATGTTTTAACAAATAGCAGGAAGGCTATTAAGCCACAAGTGTGAGGAAAAATTCCGTCACAAAGTCAACCATCCTAATTGCTAGTGACTTATTCAWCAATTAAACAAATATTTGACTTGAAATCTTATTTTTGACTAATACCCTTCCATACTTTTACAATAAAGCAGTACATTAGTATCTGCAACGATGACCTCATTCACATATACATACATACGAACATATCGCGATTCCGAGGTATTCAAACACATATGTATATACTTCAATTTATTTGCGCTTAAAAGTCTAGCATAACTTTCATTTATTCACCAGTTGTTGTTGCGCTACATATTTCCATGTGGTTAATGACTAACAACATGTATGTACAATAACCGTTTTTTGTAATGTGAGTCATCTTTGTTTTGCTTATCTTTTGTAAATAAATACAAACAGCATAGATAGCAAAGAAAAAATGTTTGTAGAGTTTCACTTCTTTAGCGAACAGGTGTAGAGAATTCCGAGCCGAAGCATGTTACCAAAGTCATAAATTTCATAAGAACAAAGAAATGTACATACATACATATATAAAGCACATGTATCACATACAAATTTATGTAGGTCAAACACACAGAGAAACATAAAGTATTATGTACATAGTTATATAAATATCTAAAACTGTTTTTTACCCAGAAAGATCACCAAATAAGTTGCACTCTTTTTCATCAAATGCATTTTGTATGAACTTCTTCAGAACTGTAATTTAAAAATTAAATGAAAATATTTCGTTGCACTTATTCAAAGCACGAGTCGTTCTAAAATTTTGTTAGATTTCTGTGAAGGTCTTCGTTAAACTGAACGGATAGCACCCAGCGATAGTAAGACTTCTGAGTAAAAGTACGATAAGCGTTCCAGGCAAGTTTCGCGTTGGAAGTGACGGAAGGTGGAAGTGATAAGATAAGACTATGTGGGTATTGGATGTCTAGTGATGAAGGGGTACTACAAGCAAGCTTTTTACAGTGGGCTTTTGTTTTGAAACACAACAATGGTGATTAACCATTACTTGATAAATGCCTCCCCAATGAGTAACCGTTTTCCTTTATTTTGAATTATTTTTCGTTTATTTTTTCATACGTTTCATGTTTTTTCGTGATTTACTTCATTCCTTCCTTCATATCTTAAGTGTATACCTTTGCCTATATGTTTTATGTACATGAATAATAGCTTTTTGTTCCTATGTGTCTTAAAATGCAATTGATCTAACTAATGGCGGCGATATTTCAAACGGCGCACAGTTTTGTACCGATAGCCATCGTCAGCGAGCGCAGCTGTTTCTTCTTCTGGTTGTTGCTCCGCAACTTCTTGGCCTTCCTCTGCTGGTGGCAGGTACTCATTAGCGGGTAGTTCGTTCACATCACGACGGTGGCGGTATTTCAGCCGACGTACTACTTTGTATCGGTAACCGTCGTCAGCTAAGACGGTAGCACCAACAGCAGCTGGCTCAGCAGGTTCAGCAACTTCAGTAACAGCAGTTTCTTCAGCATCCTCATTAGGTGGAAGATATTCGCTTTGTGGGACTTCATCAACGTCACGGCGCTTACGGTATTTCAAGCGACGAACKGTTTTGTAACGGTAACCATCAGCAGCTAATTCAGTTCCTTCTTCTCCAGCGGGCTCCACTGGCTCAGCGGCTTCAGTAACCTCAGCAACAACGGATTCTTGAACGTCTTCAGTAGGTGGGAGGTATTCCATTTGTGGSACTYCATCAACGTCACGGCGYTTMCGGTATTTCAAGCGACGAACTGTTTTGTAACGGTAACCATCAGCAGCCAATTCAGTTCCTTCTTCAGCAGCGGGCTCAGCTGGCTCAGCGGCTTCAGTAACCACAGCAACAATGGATTCTTGGGCATCCTCAATAGGTGGAAGATATTCGTTTTGTGGSACTTCATTAACGTCACGGCGCTTACGGTATTTCAAGCGACGGACTGTTTTGTAACGGTAACCATCAGCAGCCAATTCAGTTCCTTCTTCTGCAGCGGGCTCTACTGGCTCAGCGGCTTCAGTAACCTCAGCAACAACGGATTCTTTAGCGTCTTCAGTAGGTGGGAGGTATTCATTTTGTGGGACTTCATCAACATCGCGGCGTTTGCGGTATTTCAAACGGCGAATTGTTTTGTAACGGTAACCATCAGCAGCCAATTCAGTTCCTTCTTCAGCAGCGGGCTCAGCTGGCTCAGCGGCTTCAGTAACCTCAGCAACAATGGNGGTTAATGACTAACAACATGTATGTACAATAACCGTTTTTTGTAATGTGAGTCATCTTTGTTTTGCTTATCTTTTGTAAATAAATACAAACAGCATAGATAGCAAAGAAAAAATGTTTGTAGAGTTTCACTTCTTTAGCGAACAGGTGTAGAGAATTCCGAGCCGAAGCATGTTACCAAAGTCATAAATTTCATAAGAACAAAGAAATGTACATACATACATATATAAAGCACATGTATCACATACAAATTTATGTAGGTCAAACACACAGAGAAACATAAAGTATTATGTACATAGTTATATAAATATCTAAAACTGTTTTTTACCCAGAAAGATCACCAAATAAGTTGCACTCTTTTTCATCAAATGCATTTTGTATGAACTTCTTCAGAACTGTAATTTAAAAATTAAATGAAAATATTTCGTTGCACTTATTCAAAGCACGAGTCGTTCTAAAATTTTGTTAGATTTCTGTGAAGGTCTTCGTTAAACTGAACGGATAGCACCCAGCGATAGTAAGACTTCTGAGTAAAAGTACGATAAGCGTTCCAGGCAAGTTTCGCGTTGGAAGTGACGGAAGGTGGAAGTGATAAGATAAGACTATGTGGGTATTGGATGTCTAGTGATGAAGGGGTACTACAAGCAAGCTTTTTACAGTGGGCTTTTGTTTTGAAACACAACAATGGTGATTAACCATTACTTGATAAATGCCTCCCCAATGAGTAACCGTTTTCCTTTATTTTGAATTATTTTTCGTTTATTTTTTCATACGTTTCATGTTTTTTCGTGATTTACTTCATTCCTTCCTTCATATCTTAAGTGTATACCTTTGCCTATATGTTTTATGTACATGAATAATAGCTTTTTGTTCCTATGTGTCTTAAAATGCAATTGATCTAACTAATGGCGGCGATATTTCAAACGGCGCACAGTTTTGTACCGATAGCCATCGTCAGCGAGCGCAGCTGTTTCTTCTTCTGGTTGTTGCTCCGCAACTTCTTGGCCTTCCTCTGCTGGTGGCAGGTACTCATTAGCGGGTAGTTCGTTCACATCACGACGGTGGCGGTATTTCAGCCGACGTACTACTTTGTATCGGTAACCGTCGTCAGCTAAGACGGTAGCACCAACAGCAGCTGGCTCAGCAGGTTCAGCAACTTCAGTAACAGCAGTTTCTTCAGCATCCTCATTAGGTGGAAGATATTCGCTTTGTGGGACTTCATCAACGTCACGGCGCTTACGGTATTTCAAGCGACGAACKGTTTTGTAACGGTAACCATCAGCAGCTAATTCAGTTCCTTCTTCTCCAGCGGGCTCCACTGGCTCAGCGGCTTCAGTAACCTCAGCAACAACGGATTCTTGAACGTCTTCAGTAGGTGGGAGGTATTCCATTTGTGGSACTYCATCAACGTCACGGCGYTTMCGGTATTTCAAGCGACGAACTGTTTTGTAACGGTAACCATCAGCAGCCAATTCAGTTCCTTCTTCAGCAGCGGGCTCAGCTGGCTCAGCGGCTTCAGTAACCACAGCAACAATGGATTCTTGGGCATCCTCAATAGGTGGAAGATATTCGTTTTGTGGSACTTCATTAACGTCACGGCGCTTACGGTATTTCAAGCGACGGACTGTTTTGTAACGGTAACCATCAGCAGCCAATTCAGTTCCTTCTTCTGCAGCGGGCTCTACTGGCTCAGCGGCTTCAGTAACCTCAGCAACAACGGATTCTTTAGCGTCTTCAGTAGGTGGGAGGTATTCATTTTGTGGGACTTCATCAACATCGCGGCGTTTGCGGTATTTCAAACGGCGAATTGTTTTGTAACGGTAACCATCAGCAGCCAATTCAGTTCCTTCTTCAGCAGCGGGCTCAGCTGGCTCAGCGGCTTCAGTAACCTCAGCAACAATGG